CCGAAAGACGATGAACACATGTGGCTAGATACACTTGTTGCTATGGCTAGGAGCCAACCTCAGTGGCCTTCGTGCTATGAGTTTCTTTGTCCCACCCCATCCCTCTTAGCCTCCCCCTCCAACCACGATCTCACTACTTAGTCTTTTATAATTTTGCATAGGAAATTATTTTTTCTGCTGCATAGTAGCCGGTAGGTAGCTTACCGGAACGATGCCCATCCGTTGCCGGTAGCTCAGATGGCTTGCACCTGCTGCATTTTATTCCCTTTTTTCTTTTAGGTATCGCGGCACAGTAGCTGAGGTCTTTCCCACCTATAGATAACGTGTATAATGATGATGATGATGGGATTATTCGCTCCGAGTACTCGGCTTCTAACTTCCGAGTTGCTTACGTGGTGTTACCATCACACACGAGCGATCGTTCGCAGGCAGTGGTTGTCGAAGAATGCTAGTCGTTTCAGATTTTGTGCACAGGTCTCACAGTCCTACAACAGGACCGCACAGACAGTAGCTGGCTTGCTGAACTACCTCCACGTGGTGTCAGCTGGGTGGTTCGGGATTTTCCGGTCCTGGCAAATGGTTCAGCGGCAGTGTTCCAGGAAGTGGTGAGTTTTCGCCTGGCAAGCGTTCTCCCTATAAAAAGCCACATATGTCCGTTTAACAACACTGCGACGTGGCGGACGTGACTCGCCACTAAATAAAGTCACTGCCCCTTGCTTCACCTCGCTGGAGCATTGTAATCCTTCAGCTTGACGCTGAATTACTGGGAGTATTGGGCCCCTGTTTAGCAGCCAACTAAACGAAAGGCGTATGAACTGAGCAATCAGTCACCAGCTCCCAATGGGCGCGCGTCCCTGAATTCGCCCCGCTGCCTGGCGGGTCAGAAACCTATGGCCAACGACTTTGTGTGGGGCCCCCTATGTCAACCCGCTACCTCGACCTAGGCAACCGGGAAGTCGCATGCTCACACAACACATGAGGTGATGGATTTAAAACCCTCTGCTCACATTTCTCGCTCTCTGAACTCTCTCTCCTTCGTTGCACGTTTATTCAAACCTCCTGTACTTGGCAACCCCCTCAAGTTTCGAATCTCCCAAAGTGCATTGCAAATAAAAACGGTACCTCTGACCTTATCAATGAACCGCTCAAAACCGATCGCACACATTCCAATACCAAAAGCAAGGCTTTTATTACACCCCGCTCGCTCTTCAAGCGATCTACGTTCAATGTTCGAATGCTCATGCGGATTGGTTCACAAACTGCTTTTGCGCGAATCTTGGAAACCATCTCAATCAACGTTTGCTGCCTAACCGAAACCCGTTTACATGACTCCAGCACAACGCTGCGATTGCTCTCACCATCTCTAAGTTTCAATTGCACATTCACTGCGCTTATCCGGAGACGCGACAGAGGCAGCCTCTGGTTGCGCCAGCGTAGGAGTTGCGTTAAACACGCGTGCTGAGGCAGCGCTCATTGACTGGTGTCCGGTCAGTAGTCGTCTTTGTGCAGTCCGTTTGGAAAGCTCAATGCGATCTTCGAGCTACGGGACCAGTGCGCGTTGCGTATTCATTGAGATGGCGTACGCTCCAACTGACTGCAACCCGGACGAAGCTAAAGACGAGTTCCAACGCCAACTCACCGACCTCCTTCGCAAGAAATGCCGCACGGACATAGTGATACTCGCCGATGACCTAAATGAGCAGTTTAGTTGATTACAGCTTCATTAGAGAGAATTTCGGGTCAACATAGCCACGGTACTCGCAGGAAGGACAACGGCGATCGACTCCTGCAACTGTGCACCGACCACGGCTTGTTTCTATCCAGCACCAATTTCCGACGTTCCTTGCGCCAGCGGACTACCTGGTGACCTCCGGCACCTGGTGAAGCTTGGACGCAAATTGACCACATCTCTGTTAGTTACCGTTGGCGAGGCTGCATAACGGACTGCAAGTCAATTTGGAACACTTACCTGATTTCGGATCATGCGCTCGTGTGTGCTAAGTTCGTTCTGCGCTTTGGAGGCATCCAACGGCATTGCTGGAAACGGCTTGACACAGCCAAGTCGCCCCAAATGTCCTAGGCGCACTTCAGAACACAACCTGCGTCCTCTATCCTGCGATGTTGTGACACTGGGCACAGATCCAGAGCGCCTTACGAAAGTCCGCTACTCTGGTCTGTGGCTTCACTAGACGAGCAGCTAGTCATTGGATCTCCGCACAGTCTCTCCAATTAATGGAAATTCGTCTAACAATTCCGTCGGAGTTGAGTACAACGCACTACACAGAACCACAGGTGCTGAGCTCAGACAGCTCCTCAGGAAGAATCGCGAGGTTTGGCGGACACCGCGTCGTTGAGATGGAGCGGGCAGCCTCATCAGGAAACTTCCGCAAACTCTTCCAACTTATTCGTCCCACTGGAGACAGAAGACCAACAGTGAGTGAGATTTTGCGTAAAAATGATGGTGAACTAATTCACAGTAGTCGCCGACGTCTGGTAAGATGGGCAGAGCAATTTGAAGATCAATTCCACTGGTCAGTAGAGCAACCAAGTCTATCTTCCGGGGTTCACATTGCTCCCTGGTTCTTGGATGTTTCTCCACCAATTGAGGCTGAGGTTTCCTATGAGCTTCGCCTACTGAAGCGCCCCAAGTCACCTTGCCCAGAGGAACTTCCTCCTGCCCTCTTCACATATGGGGGTTCTGCTCTCACTCGCGAAGTGACATCTCTATTCCATCAGATTTGGAATAATGAAACCATTCCATCCGACTGGAATTTAGAGGTTGTACCTGTTTACAAAAAAGGAGACCAAACCATTTGCTCCAACCGCCGTGGTATCAGTATCATTTGAGTCGCATCCAAACTATTCGCTGCCCTACTCTCGCGGAGGCTCAGTTGCGTACGGGAACTGGACTTACACGAACGACAAGCTGGATTTCTCCCGGATCGCACTTGTGTCGATCACATTTTTACGATCCGCCAGATACTTGAACATCGCCATACGTTCGCTCGACCAACTATAGTCATATTCTTGGACATTCGAGCCGCGTTTGATCCTGCTGACAGGGTCTCTTTGGGACTGATTACTGAAGAGAGGAGTACCTGAGAAGTACATCAGCATTCTCCGTGCTATTTACCATCAAACTTCGGGTCGCATGCGAGTATGCGGAGGCATTTCGCCCCCTTCCACTATCCCTAGCGGTGTTAGACAGAGTTGCCCAACCTCTCCACCCTTGTTCAACTTCGCCATGTACGAGATCCTGAATACTGTGCTAGAAAACTGAGTCCAGTGGTGTTGAACTGCTCCCTGGTGACCGCCTTTGGGACTTAGAGTACGCCGATGACATCACTGTGAATTGCGAGTCCTCCCAAGTCGCCCATCATGTGCTGCTTAGACTGGAGATGTCCGCCTCCCAATTTGGCTTGACCTTTGCCCCTTCCAAATGTGAAGTTTTGTTACAGGACTGGCCAAGTGCATGTCCTTCTCTCACTCTTTCGGGGCATCCGCTAGAAGTTGTCGACAAATTCATTTACCTTGGGAGTTGTCTTAGTATTGGCGGTTTGACAGATGAGGTCTCCCTGCGTGTCTCTAAGGCTGGAGTCGCTTTCGCTAACTTTCGTCACATGTGGCTTCGTCGTAACCTCAGCCTCGCTCTCAAGGGACGAGTCTACAATGCTACGGTACGAGCAATTCTGCTGTATGGCTGTGAGACTTGGTCCGTTCGCAAAAGCGATGTTCAGCGGCTATCTATCTCCGATCACCGCTGTCTGCGAAGCATTGCTGGTCTTCGATGGTAGCATCAAATCAGTAATGAGGAAGTCCGCCGGCGAGTCTTCAGATCTAACGAACTCCGCCGACTGGTTGGTAGCATCAGTTCCTTGCGGAAGTTTCGCTGGCTTGGGCATGTGCTACGCATGCATACCCAGCGGCTACGACGACGAGCTCTATTTGTGAGCACATGCGTGGGGTGGAAGCGACGAAAAGGAGGGCAATGTAAGACTTAAACCTAATGCGTTAAGGCGTAAACGTTGAATCTGGCTGTTGGTGGGCGTTTCTGACTCCCGGGTTGGGGACCAAAGGACCGTACGCAATGGCGCACTTGATGTGAGACTCCCCTACCGTAACAGTGCATTTTTCCTTTAAATCTACTTTTTTTCCTCTTAGTTGTTATGGCACTCAGCTAATTGTATTGTAATTCGTAGTGTTGAATATACATACATACATATTAATTAATAGTTATATATATCGCACGAAGAGCGGGTGAACTGTTGAGCACCGTTGCTTCACGCACCAGGCTTTAATGGGTGGGCCACATGTTGTGCATGAAAGCACACCGACTCTCCGACGTGTGTTAATTGCACGACCGTGGTTGGAGTGGAGGAAGAAAAAAAGAGGTCAGCCGATGGGTTGGTTAAGAGAAATGAAGTCCCTCACTTCGAACCTGGCCTCGGTCAGCTGCTCCCGATTGATGCAGTGGGATCCAACAGAAGGTGAACAACCTTGGTTGGATACGCTTGCTGATATGGCGAAAAGGTGATCTCAATGGCGTTTGTGTTGCCTTTCTGCCCCCACCCTCGCTCTGCATGCACTCTGACCACCATCTTAAAACCGAGTGACAATAATAAGTAAAAACGAAGCACAATACTGCTTATTCCTACATCGCATTCTGTGCTACCCATTATTTTGTATTCTTTTTTTCAAATTCCACATTGCAATGTATCGCGGTACAGCTAACGTGTGGAATGATGCTGATCAGAATAAACCAGTCACAAAGAATTAGGTTGTGGATCAGCAAAAAATCAGTTAGACGCCAGGAATTGTTTCTTTTAAAACGGAGTAGAAAACAGTTTGTCAATTTGCATCACTGGCGGAGTGAGACAGCAAAACAGGCTAGAAGCAAGCAATGTGGTTGGGTTCAGATAGTTGAATGCGCTGAAATGTGCGTGGGTTGCAAAATGAAAAGCCTTACAAGATGGATGACTACATTTTCATCAGACACGTACCTTGCTGACGTCTTCCGTTGGGATCGAGACCGATGACGACGGTAAAACGGTCGCTGTGTTCTCTGTCACAAATTCTCCGGAAACGCTATCTTTTGGATATCGAAAAAAACGACCGTCTGGAAGAAGCCGACACTTAGTCAGGTCGTCGTCCGCGGTTGGTAGACCTTGGGGGAATTTGACTGGTTGTATCCGGACCAAATGCTTAATAACATATAAATCCTGGTTTACAGATGGCGTATTTTTCACAAGTATCCATGAATGATTCTGAAAATCTCGACACTAATTGTAACCACGTACCTTAGTATCTTCGCCCAGGCCGTGCCTTTCAAGGACAGCCCGCTGATAGTGAGGTACACCCTTGAGTGGTTTCACGCGACATACCATGTGCAAGAGCGGAGGCTCTGCGGATGAGACCGACGACGGTGGAGCACACCGCTTTTCGTGTAACTTAAAGAGGCGTTTTGCCCAGGCAGTAGGATCCAAATGTTCCTCACTTCCGGGCACAGGTCTGGACTCATGGGTTCTTGATTTCGCTCCGTTACAACTTGTGGTGTGTAAGTGCCTGCATCTGCCGAGGTAACCAGAAAGTGGAAATGGGCTCCGCCAAAACAAAGCCTATAGATAGATAGATAGATAGATAGATAGATAGATAGATAGATAGATAGATAGATAGATAGATAGATAGATAGATAGATAGATAGATAGATAGATAGATAGATAGATAGATAGATAGATATAAGTGCCGTCAGTGAAACAACGGGAACCACAGAAACGGCATATCTGTAACGTCTATATAAGAATAAGCGAGGTAAGATTGAAGTGGGCGGCAAGTGCTATGGCGTTAAAACCTCTGAAGTTGCACTAACGAACTGAGCCCAGATGCTGCCAGTGAAACGATCCAAATGGAGACCCCCTACCCAGAGGGTATGAAGCGCCAGACAAAGCGATTGACCGCAAACCATCCATCTACACTGTGCTAGTCTGTCAATGCCTTGTGAAAGTATCGGTCCACCCTTCCAAAACAGCGTCTTCGTGCCATTTATTGTCCAGAAAATGGTGTGGTTCTCTGGGTAACGTCACATAGTCAGTAGCTAACCCCTCCAAACAAAGTCAACATAGCGTTAATCGCTCTAGTACAGCAACATAAATCATGCAATATGATCCCAAAAACGATATAACTTTCATGACTGGGGGTTTTGACGAAAGCATCTTGTTATTCAGTAAGTAGGTTAGGACGCAGTGGTCACCCTTACCCATGGAAGCCCAAGCATGTACTTTTAACAAGTGATCATATTTGGTGATCATGACATCTAGCATTGAGGGAGTACGACCAACAAGTCTCACAGTTGGAAAGCCAATGTGTTGGTCAAAATCATTCGCGTGTATCTAATCCACAAGTTCCTGACTCAGAGTCGACAATGCTTGCAGGATGCTCCCAATCTGCGTGCGGAATGTTCAAATCGTCGGTGATCACGAAGTTCTGTGCATCCACCGCTCATAGAGAAGAGGGTTTCCAAATTCCCGTAGAGGTCTTAAGCAAGCAAATGCAACTCACATCAGTATGATGTTGTCATCACTGCCTCTTGGTTCCGCCACGCATTGACAATCTGGTATCAACTCTCCTAGTCGACCGAGCGAATGTGACTTGGTACTATTTCACGTACGACAAAGTAACCAGCAAAAGTCGAACTTGTACGACCCGTGAGACTTAGACGCAACACGGTTACTACGCGTTAGTTGAATGGGCCCCTAGACCGAGCGCATTTTCACACGCAGCTACCCGAACCCGAGAAAACAAGATGAAAACACAGGCCTTTCGCGTAGGCACTTTTACCGACCAGGCTCAAGGCGATTACAGCGCAGTCCAGCGTTTCTTTTATACCTCGATGGCGCCAATGATTTGCGTAAGCAAACCCTGGAAGCAACTGAATTGGTACTATGCAAATATGCCAACGGAACATGTTGAAAAGTGAATGTTGGTAGATGCGGAGGCTTGACCGAAAAACTGAATGTTTCCTAGGTGAAAAACTGAATGTGTTATGATTGAAGGGGGTTGGCCGGAAACAGGAATGTTTTCTGAGGTACAAAGGCCAATCGAAACGTGAATGTCTCACGAGTTGGAAGACTGATCGAAACACGTGCAGTTGTCTGAATCCAGTTTCATTGCCTTCCGTGGTTTAAGCTTATAAGAATTGTGTGGACGTTGGGTCCCCATAACATCCCCCTTCAAGTTTGAACATACCGTTTTAGTTGCGGTCGGTCTGCAGTCTTTCGGTCCTTCGAGGGATGCGCTCCGACCTGCGGTGAGGACCAGTTGCGTTTGTCGTCGGCTGTGCGACTTCCATAGACCCCGGTTGTTGAGCAGCGATTCCGAAAGTATCCAATAGCAAGTGCAGCGGTATTTGTGTAACTGGCTTGGATTGTTCATTGAGCGTACCGCGTCGCGGTCGAAGTTGGTTTTGGTGGCGAACCCATGTGTCGTCTCCCACAGCGACATCATGTAGCATACTACCACGATGGGCCGTCACTGTTGCTTTGATCCAGCGTGGATGACCTGCTCGATAGTCGCGAGCGTATACCGGGGCTCCAACGACGAATTCATTGTGCTTGGTGCAGATAGTAGATTGACTTGGTGGCTTTTCGGTCGGGATGAGCGCTTCGTTAGTGGGGCGTAGCTTGCGGCCCATCAGCAGAAGACTAGCAATCTGGAGCGGTTGGATTTGGTGTGGATCGGTAAGAGAGCAGGAACGCTTAGACATTCATCCACGGTCCCCTCCCCACAAGATTTCAAGAGCGTCCTCTTGAAAGTATCGAGATACCTCTCCGCTTGATCACTGGACTGGGGATGGTAGGGGGATGAGCGTAGGTGCTAGATGCAATGCCGGCGACAAGTCTTCGAACATGGAGGACGTAAATTGAGTGCCATTGCCGGACACTACGACCTCGGGAAGTCCATGCTAACTGAAGATTCGTTGTAGACAACCCAGCGTGGTGGATGCGGTTGGTGGGTTGACGGCGACCACTTCAGGCCATTTGGAATAAACGTGCACCACGACCAGGTAGGAAATACTATCGATCGGACCAGTATAGTCGATGTGCACTTGAGACTACGGTTTTTCTGGCGGTTGTCAAGGAACTGGTGGTTGGTGTGGTGCCATCTTGGTTGCTTGTTGACATCTTGAGCAGCGGCGAACCAAATCTTGAATGTCGTTATCAGTACCAGGCCAGTACACATAACTGGGGGCGATTGCCTTCATTCTGTTCATACCAGGGTGAGCAGAAAGGAGCTGGCGGAGTACAGCTTGTCGAGGGCATGAAGGAATGACAATTCAGTCTGCAGTCATGAGTCAGGAATCGACTATGGAAAATGAGTCACAGCGTTAATACAGTTGTTTCAGTTCGCCATAAAAGGCAGTGTTTGACCAGCGCGTCTGAACGTAAGTGATGGCTTCCTGCAGGACAGGGTCTTGGGCAGTTGCGCGACGTATTTCGGTGGCAGTAATGAGGAGACTTCAGATAGCATTCGAGAGTTGATGACGAACGTCGTCCTCGACGGTAAAAGCGACTATCACCGTGTCTTCTATAGCACGTCTGGAATTGAAGCGATAGGGTCCGTCGACTTGAGCGGAATTCTGGGTATGGCAGTAACGGATTTCGAAGTCGTAAGCAAGAAAGATGATAGCCCAAGCTGAAGTCGGCTAGCCGAGTATGCGGGAATTCCCTTAGTTGAACCGAAGATTGAAAGTAGTGACTTGTGATCAGTCAATAGCGTGAACCGCCGACCATACAGCATCTTGTAGAACTTGGTAACGGCAAACATGTTTGTCAGGGCTTCCTTCTCAATCTGACCACAGTTCTTCTCTGCAGGCGTCAGGGTACGTGAGATGTGCATAACCGCATTTTCGGAACCACTTGGGAAGCGATGAGAGAGAACTGCTCGGATCCCGTAGGCAGAGACGTCGGCAGCGACCGAAATCTGCAAGAATGGGTCGTAATGGATCAGCAGTAGATCAGAACTCAGCATAGATTTCAGACGAAGGAAGGTCTTCTCGCAACCGCGGGAATAGTACCAAGGAACGTCTTTTTGCAACAGTCGATTGAGCGGGACCCATATATCGTAGTAGCTGATGAAGCCAAGGAACGACCGCAGTTGTGATACGTATTTGGGGGACGGCATCTGTTGAATGGTTCGGACGTTTTCGGGGTCAGGATGTCGGCCATTAGTATCGAAGACAAAGCCGAGATACTTGATCGATCGAAGGAAGAATTGAGATTTATCAGCCCTCATGCGAAAGCCATACTCCTGGGTCCGTTCAAAGACAGAGACCAGAGGCTCTCGCAGTTCTTCTGGGGTGCGACCAATAATGTGATCATTCAGGTAAGCGGCCGTACCCGGAATGCCAAAGATCATGGCGTCCATCGTCTGTTGGAAAATGGCTGGGGCAATCTTGACACCAAACGGCAGTCTAGTGTATTGGAGGAGACCGCGGTGTATTGACCGTCAGAAACGGTTGCGACTCAGAAGCAACTTCGATCTGTAGGTAGGCATCTGCCAGGTCGATCTTGGCGAAGCACATGCCATCACTGAGCATTGTGAACAGGTTGGCTGGAGATGGTAGTAGTTTGGCTCCAGCGCAGGATTGAGGCTAGTGGACAAATCGGCACAGATACGGAGGGATGTATTCGGTTTCTTGATCACAACAATCGGGGCTGCCCAGGCAAAATAGGACACGGGTACCAAAACACCCATATCCTCCAATCGTTTGAGTTCAGCATCGATCAATGGAAAGGCTGAGTAAGGGATCGTACTTTTTGGACGGAATACCGGTTGTGCTCCGGGACCGAGCTGTAACGCGGCGCGAGTGTACAGCGGCCAAGATCATCCTGGAACACTTGAGCGAAAAGACTGGTGATGTCGTCCGTTTGGTCAATTGGTACTGCCGGAGATTGTACGGCGCTGCAAATAGCCCGGTGGTATAGCGGCCAAGCCAAGGTGATCAAGCCAATCGAGACCAAGCAGGTTGAGCTTCGCCTTTGTGATGTAGCAGATCCCGTCGAATGTGACGCCTCGAAAGGAGACGGAGCACTGCAGCTGCCCAGTTAGCTGCACGCGGCCGCCACAGGCGCTGGTGGCGGATTGAAGGGTTGAGTTGGGTGGTGGTATGCCAAGGGATCGCCAGAGTTTCTCGAAAATGATCGAAGAGTGTACAACTGCAATCGAACAGACTGCCCATTGATCATCATCATCATCAACAGCAGTACATCAGCCATTTGAACTGATGCTTCGCTGCCATACAACCATGAGGAACTATGAAATAAAGAATAAGAAGAGGGAGAGAAGGGGGATTTACCTGAAAACCTTAATGCCCTAAGCAAACATTCAGGGTCAAGGCGCCTACACCTTGTGTAGACAACACACCGTCACAAACAACTGGATATCGAGCAAAGATAAGGCGGCATCGGCGAGACAGCTTCCTTGCGTCTTTCACTGCCCCGCGTCATAATCAGCCATTACATCGAAGATAACTCAGCACCAAACACACTTTAAACAGACAATCCGATTAGGAGACGGCAGCAGACGCGCCACTGGTGTCGGTTGCGAGCCATGTCCTGTAA